GTGATGTCATCGTGACCTCCTGACTGCACGCTGATGCTCATTATAGAGTTTTTGTGGTATTTTGTGACAAAATTTCCAAATGGATGTCAAGTCAAGTCAAGTCAAACTTTATTTATGTAGCACATTTAAAATAACCAAGGTTGCCAAAGTGCTGTACATAAAAAGCATGTATATGTGATTTTAATGTAAAAATAAATAAATTAAAATAAATTAAAAAGGTAAAAAGGTGCTCTGCCTCAACCTAAGGTTAAAATGTTAAAAGCCATGTCGAATAAATGGGTTTTTAAACAGGACTTAAACACCTCTATGGTCTGGGCAGCTCTTATATAAGGCAAGCTATTCCAGAGCTTTGGGGCGACCACACCAAAGGCTCGATCGCCTTTAGTCCTCAGCCTCATTTGCGGGACCACCAGCAGCAGCTGACTGGCTGATCTCAAAGTTTTTAAGGGATCATAAGAGTGCAGAAGGTCAGACAGGTATTTTGGCGCGAGCCCATGTAAGGCTTTAAATACTATTAGTAAAATTTTAAAAAGCAATTCTGAATTGCACTGGGAGCCAGTGGAGTGAGGCCAGAATAGGGGAAATATGGTCACGCTTACGTGTTCCGGTGAGGAGACGGGCAGCTGAATTTTGTATGAGTTGTAGACGATGGAGCAGTGACTGGTCAATACCAACATACAGAGAATTGCAATAATCTAGGCGTGATGTAATGAAAGCATGAGTTACTTGTTCAAGGTCAGTGGGAGATAGATAGCCTTTTATCTTTGCCAGAAGTCTTAATTGGAAAAAACTGTTTTTTATGACTGAATTGACCTGTGCGTCAAATTTAAAGGCGCTGTCAAGGGTTACACCGAGGTTTCTGACGGTAGGCCTAATGTTGGGACTGAGGGAGCTGAATGAACCAACAGGAAAATTTGAGGGGTTACATCCAAACATGGAAGGCACAGTGGTGTGGTGGTTAGCACTGTCGCCTCCCAGCAAGAGGGTTCTGGGTTCGAATCCCGGGGTAACTAGGACCCTTCTGTGTGGAGTTTGCATGTTCTCCCTCTGTCTGCGTGGGTTCTCTCCGGGTTCTCCGGCTTCCTCCCACAGTCCAAAAAAAAACCTGCGTGTTAGGTTGATTGGAAATTGGGGAAATTGCCCTTAGGAGTGAATGTGAATGTGAGTGTGTGTGGTCCTTGTGTGTCTCTGTGTGGCCCTGCGATGGACTGGCGGACTGTCCAGGGTGTACCCTGCCTCTCGCCCATTGATCACTGGGATAGGCTCCAGTTCCCCCCGCGACCCCATGAGGGAATAAGCGGTATTGATAATGGATGGATGGATGGACATCCAAACATAATAATCTCAGTTTTATTTTCATTGAGTTTGAGGAAGTTCTTTTCCATCCAAGCTTTGATATCTTTTAGGCACTCCAGCAGTGGTTGTGCAGAATCCCCACAGCTAGACTTCAACGGCAAAGAAAATCTGTACATCATCTGCATAACAGTGGAAAGCGATATTATGTCTCCTGAAAATTGAGCCAAGTGGAAGTATATAAATTAGAAAGAGGATTGGGCCAAGAATGGACCCTTGGGGTACTCCAGATGTAAGAGGGGCTGTGTCTGAGGTGAATTCCTTTAGGTGGACTGGGAAACTGCGATCAGTCAGGTAGGATTTAAACCATAGGATTGCAGAGCCTGTGATTCCAACACTATGTTCTAGTCGGGATAATAAAATCTTGTGATCCACATTGTCAAAAGCAGCTGTCAGGTCGAGGAGAACCAGGACAGCAAGGTTTCCAGAATCGACAATTAAAAATAGGTCATTTAGGACTCTCAATAATGCTGTTTCAGTGCTGTGAAATGGTTTGAAACCAGATTGAAACTTCTCATGGATGCCATTGGCGAGAAGGAAAGACTGTAGTTGGTTAAAAATGACTTTTTCTAAGACCTTTGACAGAAATGGTAGTTTGGAAATTGGACAGGACTGAGGGGTCTAGATTTTTCTTTTTAAGAAGGGGCTGGACAACAGCATGTTTCAGGGCAGCTGGAACAAGTCCTGAACTAAGACTGGAGTTGACAATAGCAAGAACAGTAGGCCCCACAGTTCTAAACACATCTTTAAAGAGACGGGATGGGATGATGTCAGAGGGACAGTTTGTGGGCCGCAGCTGCTTGACTACATCTGAGAGGATGGAGAGAGATACTGGCTAAAACTGATCGAGGGCAGGAGGCAAAGGAGGAGCAGTAGGGTCAGCGCCCGGGACAGAAGGAGTGGGAAGAGCTGATCTAAGGGCAGAGATTTTATCAATAAAGAATTTGAGGAAGCTATTACGTAGAATTTGTGATGGCACTAGAGGAGAGTTTTTCGTGGGGATTTATAAGAGAGTTAAAAATATTAAACAAAACTTGAGGCTTATGTCTTTTATTGGAGACAATGTTTGATATGTATTCTTGTTTGGCAGCTTTGACGGCCTTCTGATAGTTAAAGAGACAGTTTTTTAAGATTTCGTAGGAGACATGAAGCTTATCCTTTTTCCACTTCCTTTCTGCACGTCGACATGAACGTCTGAGTGTGCGAGTGGAGTTATTTAACCATGGTTGAGAGGACGTTTTAGTGCGCTTTGACTTGAATGGAGCAATAGAGTCCAAAATGGCCTTGCATGTGGTATTAAAAGTAATTAAAAGCTCTTCAGCGTTGGGCACGTGATTATTATATAATATGCCATTAATGATGGCATCACTGAACATGAGGGAGAAACTCATGGCGGTTTGAGGGTTGATGGTGCGTGAGAGGCGTATGGGGGCACAGAATTTAGCTCGTGCACATGGAATGGAGACCGTGTATAAGACCGGCAAATGATCGGAGATACATACTGTTTCACAGATTTCATTTACACATACTGATAATCCATAAGACAGAGTATGGCCCTTCTCGTGTGTCGGACCAGTCACAGATTGCACAAGGTTAAAAGAATCAATGAGACTTAAGAAATCATTTACCAGTGGCTTTGATTTACAGCAGACATGAATATTAAAGTCACCAGAGATTAAGAAGTGGTCATATTTCACAGAGACCATTGAGAGGAAGTCTGCAAAGTCATTTATGAAGCCACTAATTGCTTTTGGAGGACGATAGACAACTGCAAACAGAGCTGGGGAGGACAGGTTTAGTTCAAACATCTGTAACTCAAAGCTAGAATAATTGTCAAATGGAATTTGGAGACACTGAAAACTAGATTTGAAGACAGATGCTAAGCCTCCACCTCTGCCAGTGATTCGGGGGGAGCTGAGGAAAGAACAGTCAGGAGGTAGGACTTCAGAGAAAGGTGCACAGGGTTACAGGGTTCATTGTCTGTGATTTCTTCTCTTACATTACACAGCAGTTTGGCTCTTCTGGTATGAACTGAAAGAGAAATAATAACAGTATGAGTCCTCACTAGTGTTTGTATCACTTCACTGAAAACCACTGTGTTCCCTTTTTTGTGGTACAGCACAGATACTTTTTCAAGTACTGTTTAAATGTCTTGTCTCGTAGCCCATACACGATTGGACTTACAAACCTGGAAGCAATCTGGGTGATGATGTACCAAACAAAGAGAATGTGTATGTAAAATTGAGGGAACCAGTTCATCAAAGCTAATTCAAAAAGGGGGGCCACAAATGTTAACATGCTCAGCAGCAGCTGGAAGCCATGAAGCAGGATTGTGTTCCTGGCCTTTTTGATATTTCCATCTGCTGAATCAGCAGCTTTAGCAGCAACGAAAATCTTGAAGTAGGTGTAGAGGAGGGTGAGCCAAACTCCACTGAGATAGATCAGATAGGAAAAAACTCTTTTTTGCGCAATAGCTGGGTGTCTGAACAGGTTATCCCTCACACAAAATATGGTGGAGTAAAATAACCGTTCAGGCTCTGTTGCTACAACAAGAAACACGTCTGTAAGAATGGACACTGCACTCACAGCCCAAATACAGCAAATCAGCACATATGTTCTTTTAACGGTACAGAGCCGTGAGTGTTGCAGAGGGAAGCAAACAGCTATGTAACACTCCACTGCCATCACAGCCAGATTTAAAGGAGTGTTGAGGGTGGTGAAGATAGCAAAGGTTATAATAAAGCAACAGAGCGAAGCATGGATCTTATAGAAGACATAACTAAATAAAAACAGACTAATTGCTGCAGTGAGCTGGATCATGTCATTCAACACCAGGTGGAT